GCCCGGCCCCGCGAGCTCTTCTCGAACCAGAGGCGCAGCGTCTTGGCCAGCAGGCGCTGGCGCCGGTACCACAGCGCCGTCAGCATCTGCGGCTGTCCCTGAGGAGTGCGCTGCAGCTGGGCCAGGTCCTCGGCCGACGCCATGGAGCGCAGCGTGCGGCCCCGCTTCACCAGCGGGCCCTGCTTCTGGCCGCGGACCGCCAGGAGGGCGCTTCTCAGCAGCTTCAGGTCCCCCTCCGGGTTATCGTTGAGCACGTAGTCCTGGCACAGGTAGCAGAACACGTAGAGGTCCCGGACTTCCATGGCGAGCGGGTGCCCCGTCTCTTCGAAGTGTTTCAGAGCGTGGTCCTCCATGTAGCGGCCGCAAGCCACATGGGAGCACTTCAGACACGCCCACACCGACTCGGTGGTGGAGCAGTCCAGACAGCACCACTTCTGGGGGTTCAGGATGGAGTGGTCCTGGGCCAGCCGCAACCGCCCTACATGTCTGCATCTATCCATGTCTCAGAGGCGGCTGCGCTCCTTCAACCTGGCAGGACGGGCCCACAGACAAGAACAGGGACAGCTGTCAGCACGGAGTCCCCCAGTGCCGCCGGCCTTCTCCACGCAGGTCTCATTGGTTTTCTATTCAAAACCTCTTCTTTGGAAAGGAGGCTAAAAACAAAAGCAGCGAATCCGCTATCAGTAACCGAGCATAAAGCAGTCACACTCCTACGCAAGGAGGGATTGTGAAATATACGCGGGGCCTGTCCCTCGCACCAGTTGGAGAGCGTCCATTTCCTATGCCCATTCTCCTGGAATATGCCAAGGCTGAGTGGTCTTCCCCGGGAACGCACAAAGCACTCAACAGATCGCCTGGGGAGAAAACCTGGGACTCGGGAGCCCGCTCTGACAGCTCGCTGGCCTGAAGTGCGAGCTCCTTACCCAGAGAGCTCCTACCATGAGATCCTGGGCGTGTTGAGAGGGGCAGAGGAGGGAAGACCCAGAGGCGTGTCCTAAATGCCGAGGAGCTGGGAAGGGCCCATCTCCGGTCAGTTTCAATGTTACTTCAAAGCAAAGATCACAGGAGAAGGTCAAGCGAAGGAGAGATGGGCCTCTTCTGTTCAGGGTCTTATTTGCATTGGCTGGGCTAAGGGGCCTGCCCGTGAACCTCCCTCTAAAGAACATCTCACACATGTCCTCTGAAGAGGACATGTACGTACTGGAGAGAGGTCAGGACACTTTCCACTGTTTACGGAAAGGCTGGGTAACTAAGAAATATCGAACTCTCAGGGCAGGCGGTGAAGTGTGGGCCCGGGAATGACACTATTTAACCTAACCACCAACACAGACGAAGAGAGCAACACATCGCCGGCTGATGTGTGAGGCTGTTTTTAAAACGGTCATAACATCCTGAGCAGTGCCCCCCTCCTCCTTCCCAACATTGCTTCTGTGGTAAGGTTTAGCAGAGAAACTCAGGGGTAATTTCTTCATCGGTAGAAAGTTGGACAACTGTTTTAAAAGATACCGTCTTTATCCTTTGGAACCCTAGTAGGTTTTTTTAAAAGTACATTCCAAGATTTCAAGTTTCCTCAAGGTAAACTTCCTGCTACAAAGAATTCCGTTACCCTTCCTGTCTCCTCCACGTCTCCCCACTCAGGTGAGCAGACCCAGGGCCATGATTAGGGCTCAGCCAGGGACGTCCTGAGTAGTTCCTTTAGTGGGTTTTCCCCTAGTGTTTGTGACCCACAAATATCTACGCCGGGGGGGCCAAATCCCAGGCCCTCCTTCCTCTGACTGCCCACTCCAGCTGGCAAAGGGCACGTTCCTGAGTAAGGCATCCTCAGACCTTCCCAAAGAAAGCAGTGGTCTAACCCCACCCACGCCTTCTGATTCCGTCGGCTATGGCTCATTGCGAAGCACTCCCGAGTCCTTCCGTACATGTGGTGAGCCATTTCCTAACTAAAGAGGAGGTCACGTGTTCTCTTCCTTTCTTATGGCCTGTGGGCGCTAGGCCGCAGCGATCCTCCCACATGACCCAGAATGCGGCCCAATACCACTGCTGTCTACTTTCCTTAGGATACAGCCACATCAAACACAACACAAGAAAAACACAACATTTTCTTTTGTCTACTTATCACCCCTGGTGACACCGTGGGCTGAGTGTCGGGGCGCTGAGCATTAGAGGTTCCCCCTCACTAGCTGCTCTGTGGGAGAAAGGCGAGGTGTGTCTGCATCCATAAAGGGCTATCATCTCACAAACCCACTGGGCAGCTCGGCCCTGCAGGAAAGAATCGGCTCCTGGCAGTGGGCCGGGATTACGCCCTGGGTGGCAAAAAACGACTAAAGGTTTATCCAGCAGCCATAAGGCTGGCAGCCCAAACCCACCAAGAAGCGCCTTGGCAGATAAGCATGCCAACCGCTTTCAAAAAGTCACCCCTTGCGATCCCTAGGGAGCAATTCTGCTCTGCACACCGGGGGTCGCCAGGAGTGAGTAGCAACAGCTGATGGCGAAGTCCACGGCAGCACCTGTCATGTTCACAGCCAATCACAGGGCCACAGATGAAAGCCAGAGGTGAAGGGGAAAGGGGGTCAAGAGACAGGCAATTCCTGAGTTTCTCACCAATGTCTGTCGTATTTCCCAACACGAAGCCCCTGGACCACACACACACACACCAGCGCCTGAATCCCCTAGGGTCCTTGTGACAGGTTCAGATTTCCTGGTCCCCAATCCAGGCCTAGTGAACATCTTAGAGCCTGGGTGAGTCTGGCATCGGCACCGTAAGCCAGTGTCACAGGTGAGTCTTTTGCACCTTAAACCCCCAGGGGCACTACACTATGACACCTCTTGTAATCAAGGGCGGCTTCTCCTTCCTCACATTTGTCTGTCTATTCAGACCAACACTAGCTGTGTTCATCTGGGTAGACTAGGGAAACAAACCCACAGAAACTCATATGTATACGAGAGTTTAATACAAAGGGTAAATGTACATTAAGAAAGCATCCCAACCGAGTGCTGTCCAAGTGCCTAAGTCCAACATTAGCCCATGTGTCCGACACCAATTCACAAAGTCCTCCTCCATCTCACAAAACACACGCAATGACGCCGACTGCAGGAAGAAAGCCGAGTCAGTGAATGTGTAAGCATCTCAGCACTGGCAGGGTCTCCACACGGCTGCTCCAGCACCCAGGGCTGCATCGAGATAGGTCCATGTGGCGTCTCCTCAGGGATATCTTGCAGGAAGTGAGCCTTGCCAGCTGTAGCAGGGAACTGGCTAAGGCAGCTGCACCCTGGTCCGGCCGTCAGAGAGCAAGAGACCTGAGAACTCAAAAGGCGAGGCTCACCGAGTCATTTATCTCTCCACCCTTCAGTTAACCCCACCTGTGTTTACTGGCCAGGTTGGCACAATAAACCCTGACTATCTCACTAATCAACAGGACTTTCTACATAAGGATGCATGTGTTCTCGACACTGTCCAAAAAGGGAGACTGACCAACACATGGCTGCCGGGTACTTTCCACGTGGCCAGTGAGACGGAGCTGCTAATTTAAATTCACTGAAATGGCCACCTGTGGCAGCTGGCTGTGGGATTAGGCAGCACAGTCGTCAACATACCAGGACACATGCTCTTTGGGTCACTCAGTGTTTCTTTTAGTTTCACCTCCTTCAAAAAACATTTAACCCGAAGAGCCTCTGTGTAGCTCAAAACTGGATGTCTGGCCGATCCTCATTTTAGCCAGTGGGAGCCGCCACGCGTCTGTAGGATTTAACTGCTCCTGAGATCTGATCCTATAAAATGGCGCACAGCTTCAAATCTCACCAAGAGGGTATTTCTGTGCACCAGAGAGCAGCAATACAATACCCAGAGCACAGATGCCTTCTGAAATCGACGGCAGTGCTGGGGGAGGGGCTGCGGGGAACCATCTACCTCTCTATAGCTATCTGCTGGAGGAATGGCAAGCTAACCCAGAAAACCCTAAAGAACCACCCCACACCCTCCCCACTGAGAGCTGTCCAATGGAAAGGGCGCTCTGGAAATTCGGTCTTCCGATTTCATTTTCTGATCTATAAATCTGCTGATCACGCACATCCTGCCCTGCACGGCCCTTTTCCCATTACAAATCTGCCGTGGCAACTCGCTAACCTGCCAGATGGCACAGTAAACCCATTCAGGAAAACACAGGGCTACTTTCACACCTCCCTCCACCAACTGAAAGCCAGGCAGGTCCCCTTCTCTAGAGGAGAAACATCCGCGTGTGCTCTGGAAATCGCCCAACCCTGGCACAAAAGGAGAGAGCCACCCTAACCAACACACAGAACAGAGGCTGTGGAGCACCCGCCCCACATGCTTTCCTTCCGCACCAGGAAGACAATGCACTGATTTACCCAGCTCTCAGGCCGACCGGCCACCTCAGTTCCCAAAGAGGCCCATCCCCTGCTGGCAGGAAGAGGAATTCTCTTGGACATTTTTCCATCTGGGACAGCTTTTCCTTCAGAGTCCCATGTCAAACATACATCACCCAGTGGGGCGGGCCAGGGTCCCAGTAAACGAAATAGACAGACTTGAAGTGGGACTGGGAAAAAGCGAGCGTCTTCTCAAGAGCTCCGCGCCGTCAAGTAGATGCGCAACGCTCCCTAAACGTTTGGCCGGCCTGCTTGGGGGCCCTGCACCTGGGAAAGGACACCTGACAGACAGCCTAGACGCTCCTGTTTGTTAACTACCAGTTCTATTTTTAAAATTTAAATGAACTGGAGCTGAAACCCATAATCAATATTTAAAACTGTTCTTCTCTGATTTCACTCCACATGGAAGCTTCCAAAGACACTATCTTTCCAGCTCTTGCCTTCTCTGGTGAGAGCTGTCTTGATTTAGGGTCCCTTTCTTGAGGCCCCACAGGAGGGACGACTGAAGATTATAGTCGTCTTTCGAAACCCATAGCTTGAAAATAGGAGTGCTCTTCTAGTTGGCTTATTTCAATTTTCTTCAAACGGAATGTCTTAGATCTTAAAGGCCTAATGATATTACCACAAATTAAAATTTCTGGGTGAGGAAGGGAGAGGATGTCTCTCTCGCCCTCCCTTCCCCCTGCCCTCCTTCCCTCTCTCTTCCTCTCTCTCTCATTGATTTCTTCTCGGTTCTTAACTAAGGACTGTGGAATAATCCTGCCTGGTCTTGGTGAGACCAGTGGCATAAATTCCAGCTTGAGAGAAAGTAGACACTATGGTAACATGCTGACAGCCTTCATTTACATAAAAGAATACTAATTATGTGGTATCATCCACATCTGTGATTCTGCTCACTGCCATATGCGACAGCGCTGGGTATTTTAACCCTTCAAGTTACTCAATGTACTAGAAATACATCTAACACAAACCTGTAATGACCAGAGGGCACGGGGAATACATTTTTGTACAAAACAAGTGTGAAAAATGAATTTGATTTTCTGCTAACATTTTCCTTCTAAAGGATATGGGAAAATAGAGTGTCACAAGGCAATTAAGAAAAAGATAATAGGGAGGTAGGAATCACATTAAGATGCAATTAATAACCTGAAAGGGGAGATTGATGTAGTCTAGAGTACTATGTAGGATTTTTAAGAGGCTAGGTATAATAAAAG